GATGACTCGCTAATAGAAACTGTTAGAACTTCTGAGTCTAACTATCACTATGGCTCAATGTTCAGCCAAATGACAATTCAATAAGAAAAACAGTAACACAAGGGGGATTATGCACACCTTAGACTCCTTGACCACTTGACACCAAAAGGGCAGTTTACCCAAGGATACAGTTTAGAAAGTTCAGCAAAGAGAAAGAAGTAGAAATAGAAAACACACCAATAAGATGGTTTATTTTTTTTTAATAAAGAAAAAGATATAACAGTTCAGAGACACAGAAGAAGATAAATTAAAATACATAACGATACTATGTAGCCATTGGGGGAAAAGAAAACACAGGGAGGAAGTGTAATAACCAATGTTACCTTATGGGGCTGTGGGGATTGCAATGAGGCGTCTGTGAATTGTTTAATGGAAAACTGGTCTGAAAACCTTCACCAAATTACAATTAAAAGGTAAAAAGACGCAGAAGAAAGTACTTCCAAGGGTAGGCTTGCTCTAAGAATTGCAGGACAAACGAGCCCAGAAGAAAGAACATCCAGAACAACATGACGGTACACAGGAGTGCGCTTCATATAATGGGAAGACTCCGACTTGAAGGATTGAAATTAGATTTGCGCATGCTTCGTTCTGCCCTAGACCATCAGCGAGACATAATGACTTCCTCTCCGATGTGTGTCCGCTCTTAAATGTAAACCAGAATCGCGAATATTTTGATTGGTGAAATGACAGGAACAAAGGATAAAGTCAAAGTTCCGCAACGTGCCTTCGGAAGCCACTCTGTGCCTCCTTTCATTTTACAATCGAGCCAAGTGATGGCTGGAGGAGTGCGGTCGTAGTCGCTTCAGAACCAGACGCTGAGAGCGTCTTCCAACTAGAATTAGGTCCGGTTTCCTTATAGGTTGTATAACTCACTGCCGTGGAGTTGATTCTGGCTCGTGGTGACCCAATAAGACACAGTAGGGCAGTGGTTCTCAGCCTTCCTAAAGCTGGGACACTTTCATTCAGTTCCTCATGTGGTGATGACCCCCCAACCATAAAATTACTTTTGTTGCTATTTCATAACTGTAATTTTGCTACTGTGATAAATTGGACGAACCCTGTGAAAGGGTCGTTTGACCTCCAAAGGGGTCGCGACCCACAGGTTAAGAACCACTGCAGTAGGGGAAAGGGAAAAAAATAAAAAGACAGAACTGCCCTTGTGGGTCTCGAAGACTGTAACTCTTTAGGAGTAGAAAACTTGCTGTTTCTCCGGGAGGAGTGGCCAATGGTTGGCTGACCTTGTGGTTAGTAGCGCAACATGTAACTCACGGGTCTGGAAAATATCAATCTTGAAGGCATTGTGATTAGTCTTCTAACTACCCACACATTCTTTTACACTTTGCCCACCAAGACGTGGGTTGTACATCTCCACCTGTTGAATTGGAGCTCACTTTGGTGACACGGAGAATGCGAACTCTGGTGATCAACAGAATGGATGCCACACGTTGGATGCCACCTGTACCTTCTGGCACCACTTCTTGGGTCACTGGAGTTCCAAGCACCATGTGGCTGCCAACGAGGGAATGAGGGAACCAACATCACATGAAGAGAGGCCACAAGTCGTTGAAACAACTGATAGGTTTACGTGAGGTTCCAGTCAACAGCCACCACCAACTGCCAAACAGGAGTGTAAGAACACCTTTCCCCTGTCTGCCCCCTCATGTGAGTCAAGCGCCTCATTCTTCTGTTGTCATATTGTCCCAGTGAGGCCCCAGACACTAGGCAGCAGAGACAAGTCATTCCCACGGTGTCCTGTCAGAATTGTTGACCCGCAGAATCTTTGAACATGATAAAAATGACTGTTTTATGCTATACAGCAAGAAGAAGAGGTAAAATAGACAAGAGCAAAACAAACAAAAAACCTCATTCTCCTTGTCCATTCTGACTCATAGTGACCTTAAAGTACATAGTAGAGCTGTTCCTGTGGATTTCAAGGCTGCAACCCTTCACAGGTGCACAGAACCTCACCTTTCTCCCCTAGAGTGGCAGGTGGGCTTGAATGACCAACCCCGTGATTGGCAGCACATCAGTACACGGCCAGGGTTCCTACAGATTTGGGGGGTGGGGTTAACGTGTAAAAAGTTATTCCTTATCCATTTCTTCTTTACTCGAGAACCAAATGGAAAGATACATCTGTACTTTAAAAGTCATGGAAAAGAAAAGCAATCAAGAAACCCTGCTGCTCTGAAGTGCAATATGGCAGACCCACTCTCACAGATAAACATGACGTTCTGTTAATATTCTTAAAACAGGTAAACAGCAAGGGTTTTGTGGATCTGATGTGTTCTCAGCAGCCACAGAAGCTGCCTGATCACAATTCAGCAGGACGGAGCCACATTCAGAAGCACCCCAAACCAGAGGCCTTTTATTCAGGGCCCTAAACAGAGATCAAATGAATAGGCTGCAGTGATGAGCAGGAGGGGTAATTTGTAGGGATAGGCCTTGTGCTATTTCTTTTATAAGCTGAAGAACTTGGATTTAAATACTGACTAATTGTGAAGCTGTGCTAACTTAAGGGCAAACGCTTGGCTGCAGAGTAAAAGGTCAAACTTATCTAGCCTGCTCCAGGAAACAAAAGACCTGGTGATGCGGTCATTCAGATTCCCACCACCATCCAGTCAATTCCTCCTCAGAGCACTCCTCTGTAGTGAAGGTTTCTGAGACGGTACGTCTTAATAAGAGCAAACAGCCTCGTCTTTCTCCCCTGCGTTTAACCCACTCACCATTTGCTGAGCGGCCGGTTGCTAGTCCCACTGTTAACATAAATACAAATGCACAATATGCTCACGTTCTACACACTGTTGTTTACCACTTTCTTTTTATCACAGAATAATCATAAATATACTCTCATAAATACAGGAATCCTGGCAGGTGGGTTGAAACCACAACCTTTACGTTAGCAGTTGAGTGCTTAAGTACTTGTACCACCTGAGCTCATTCAAGGGCATATGTTCAGATCAATGCATCTTTGTCTGCACTGTAATATATTTGTGCATGTAACATAAAGTACTTATCTTTTAATATTTTGACTGTTTTCAATTACTAGTGAGGTGTAGAATATCATGATTTTCCTCGGTTGGGTTTCTTATCTGAATTGCTTGTTTGGACCCTTTGCTCACTCTCTTAGTGTTGGCTTTTTCTCATTGGTTCAGAGGAGCTCCTTGTATACCAGAGGCATTAATGCTTTACCAGCTTAGCATGGCAAATATCTTCCCGAGAGTCTTGTTTTTTAACTTATGTAGTCCAGGATGTTACCCTATTCATTTATATCAGAGTTTTAAAATGTCTAGTTGATGAAATACTATGATAGTTAGGGATTCTGCGAACTAGACACTCCTGGGTGGGCATACGGGGAGAGCCAACCTATCAATTGGGTGGCAGCCTGATGACAGCTCCTGGGAGTCATAAGTCTTTTTCTATGAGTCCCATCAGAGTCACACTCTCTTTGAGGCTTCACTTTCTGCCTGAGATGGATCCTGAGTCTGGTTCCTCTATATCTGGCTGCATTGCCTGCTGATTACAGAAGTCATTAGTGGACTGCCAACAGTGTATTCTTTTGGCAGACTGTGGACCTCTGTCTCCACCAGCCTGTGCACCCTGCTGTTTTTACTTTGTCATCCTGCTTCCTATTCATCAGAAGTCTGATTTGAAACCGACTGGATTATATTTCTACAATTAGGTATGCATTTCTTGATACAAATTTCTTTCTATATACAACACATGCCTCACTGATTTTGCCTCGCTAGAGAACCAGCCCAACACAGATGCCTACAATAAAGCTATGTGGGATGCTTGTCAAAATTGGAGACTCTGGTGTCTGAGCACTATATGAAATATGGCTGGAACATTTAAAAGATTCAATATCTTCTGGATTTTTTACTGAATTCAATGAACAATTTTATGCATATGGATCTTCAGGGCTCTCTGTCCTCTGCAAGTACTAATTTGCTTGCTTTTGAAGGGGAATTGATAGATATAGAACTTGTTGGAACATCTAGAAATTTTCCTTTCCTTGGTTAGGGCATGGGAAGACTCTGATTCTGTCTATCTAGGAACACTTCCCTGCCCAGACTTTACTACTTATGTAACTCTGCTCAAGTTATTTAACCACTCTGCACCTTTTAACATCACTAATTCTAAAATGGCGATAATAGTAGTGCTCAATTCAGAGGACTGCAATAAGAATTAAGCAGCTAATACATTTAATGGGCATTAAGAGTTGGAATAGACCAGTGAATTTAGGTTCAAGAAATGCCAAGCATTTAGTATAGTGACTGACAAGCATACTGAACCCCATATTAAGCCTTACATCATTTATGAAAATCCACAGAACACAGTATCTTCCATAAGTCTTGTAACCACTTTTTAAAGTATGGGTAAGTCGAGCAGACTAGGCCCAGAGAAGTAATTGATCTGCTCAAGGTGTCTCGGAATCAAGTTATGGTTGTATAAGAAAGACCACTCTTAGCAAATAATGTAACCAATGAATTCATTTTAAAAAAAATCACTTGTCATCAAATAAATTCCGACTCATAGCGACCCTACAGGGCAAAGCAGAACTTCCCCTGCGGGTTTCTGAGTCTCTTAAATCTTTATTGGTGCCAACAGCCTCATTTTACTCCCACAAAAAGGCTGGTGTGTTCCACTGTTCATCTTGTAGTTAGCAGTTCGGTGGGTAACCCACAATGCCACCAGGGCTTCTTAGCCAATTCACAACAAAGAAAGATTTAGCTGGCATGCAAACAAGGTCGAGTCACGCTACGTGAATCCTACCCAAACCCCAAAAGGTAATCAACCAAAATGGGAGTCGCAGCTGACAGCATCTTAGGCTTCTTCGCACACGCGGAAAGAGCCGATCACGCTCGTAACCCCTCCCATTCCCTCCGAGGACAATCGTCAGGGGGCGGGGCTCACGCGTCGGCACGTTCGCGCAAAGCATTGTGGGGAGAGCTACCGGCGCAGCCATAGCTGCCATTTTAGGGAAGTCTTGCGCCGCGGCCTTCTTTTTTGAGGTGGCCTTCGTGGCATTCGTCGATCTCAGACGACGGTAAAAAGCCATCTGGCTGACCGCTTTTCTTCCTCTGGTTTCGAGAGAGCGGTCGTTCCACGCTCGGGGCCTGAGGCGAGGGCGGCAGGGAGCCTTTGTAGACCGGAGCCCGCGGCTGGTCACAGCGTCGGCTGGAAGGATGGGCCGGTCTCGGAGTCGGAGTTCGTCCCGCTCTAAACACACCAAGAGCAGCAAACACAACAAGAAGCGGAGCCGCTCGCGCTCCCGAGACAAGGAACGGATCCGGAAGCGTTCCAAATCCCGGGAAAGTAAACGGAACCGGCGGCGGGAGTCGCGGTCCCGCTCGCGCTCCACCAACACGGCCGTGTCTCGGCGCGAGCGGGAGCGGGAGCGCGCGTCGTCGCCGCCCGACCGCATCGACATCTTCGGGCGCACGGTGAGCAAGCGGAGCAGTCTGGACGAGAAGCAGAAACGAGAGGAGGAGGAGAAGAAAGCAGAGTTTGAGCGGCAGCGGAAAATGTGAGCCCTCGCGCCGGCCGCGGGGAGGGGAGCGGGGCCGAGCCAGGGGCAGGATGCCGGGGTGCTGCGGGCTTGACGGGGCCCGAGTTGGCTGGGGAGGGAGGGACGCCGTGAGCCTGGAGCGGGATGGCCGACGGGGTTTGCGATTTTGGCGCGCGGGAGGAGAAGCGAGCAGGAAGTGCTAGGGGGTGGAGCCCTGAGTGTGGCCGGAGCCTCGGGGGGTGGGGCGGTGGGGATGGTAAAGGCAGGCAGGCGGCAGCCTCAACGTGCGCTTTATGTGCGCTGGCAGGCCCGACTGGAAATAGGAATATTAGAAAGGAATTAAGCGATGTGAGTCCCAGGTGACCACCTGCATGCTTATACGGAAATATGCATTTGGGGCAAGACTTCATTACTTTTGGGAGTAAAACATTACAATGTAACCCAACAGTTAACACGCCCCAAAGAAACTTATTAACGTTTGTTCCTTGCTCTTGAGCTTACTCATTTTGTTTTCTCCCCGGAATTTAAAATCAAAATGCACCCACATGCAGTACGATGACCTTTGACACTTCGTGTCACCCCACCATAACCAGAAGGCCAATCAGAGCATAGTTCTTTACTACTTTTGTTTAATGTTTCTCCCTAGCAAAATTCTGTGCAATCCTCTTTTTCCTTTCTTCCTCTTAGAAGACACTTGCTTGGCTTTTTTGGTTTTATGTACGAAAATTAGAATTACAGTAGGCTCTTGTTTGGGTAAAAGTCATTATCGCTGGAGAAGAGTTAACTTTAAAGCATCTAGAAACACGATGTAGATGGTCCCAAACAGGTGAACTTTTGTTTTTGTAATAAAGGGTTTTGTTGTGTAGTTTAACACATTCATAACCCTTGCAACATAAACATCTGTAGTCAACCAATACTTTGAGCCTCCTGAGGTCCTTGCGACTTCACAATCCCAGTTAATGGTACTGCTTCACCCCAGTCCTACAACCAAAGGCCCTTTGGGACATGCACACCACGTTAATGTATCAGATGCATATTTAACATGCCACCATGCCTTCCATTGGTAGTGAGTGAACAGGTCACCGGTTAGAAACCAATGAGGCCTTCTACTCCAGTAGAGTTAGAAGTGTTGGAAACCCACAGGGTTAGGTCTACCCTGCCCTATATTCTTGTCATGAGTCAGGTGCAGTGGTCCTGGGTTTTCTGGTTTTCCTTTGCTGAAAATACATGGTAACAAAAATTCAAAAACATACATAATTAGGTCATCAAAAGGTTAAAAACATGGTATCCCAGCGCTCTGGAGACTCATCTCCCAAAGGTGAGATTGAAAATTGAAAATTCCCTCTCCCAGTTTAACCAGCCAAACTTGTTCATGTCCCTGTGTGTTTTTAGAAACTTCTTGAGACAAGAAAGTTACAGATATTAGGGTTTTTCTCTAAACAACTTAACATGTATCGAATTTTCTAGGCATTTAAGTTTTTCTGCAATTGAATCTATATTATGTAGATCTCCAGTATACATTTAAAAGAAAAATTATTGGTGTAGAGGACTAGAATAATACTAAAAAAGAAATAAATTCCTGGAGCTATTTTTTTGTACCTGACATTCCCAGGTTTTAAAGCATTCGTAACTCTTTCATGTTTCTTGTATTTCTTGCAACTCTCAGTGATGCGTATGAAAATAAGTACAATAAGCTTTATTGTACTTAAAGATAAGCAATTGTTACAAATTGAAGGCTTGTAACAAGTATTGGCTCACCAGCTTTCCAACGGCATGCACGAGTTTCTTGTCTCATCACGTTTTGATGATTTCTCGCATTTTTAACTTGCCCATATGTGATTGCACACTTAATAGACTAGAGTGTAGTACAAGCATAGCTTTTTTTATGCCTTGGGAAAGAAGCATAAAAAAATTCGTGTGCCTCCATCATGACAATCAGCTTTATTGTGGTTGTCTGGCAGCCTACCTGAATGATCATCGTTGTCAAGGTATGTCTCTGGATGTCATTGTTTCACAGTAAACCTTGATTATAGAATCCAGCTTTTTGGACACTCCACTGTAAAAATGTAGCTTTCAAATAATTATCAACAGAAACACATTTTAAAATTACCTAACTTATTGAGGAAGACCCTTGATAACATGGATTGCTGATGCAGTGGCTGCCTTGGTGGGCGCAAACAGGGCCGCAAGGAAGAGACGAGACAGGGTGTAGTATAGCACCGATGAAACACACAACCTTCCTCTAGTTCTTTAATGCCTCCCCCCCCATGACTCCAATCCTTTTTTACAAATCTGGTTAGACCAGAACATGTATCCTGGTACAGATAAGAGCCTGCAACACAGGGAATTCAGAGCAGATAAACCCCTCAGGACCAATAAGGGAGCAGTGGGGCTAAGGGTGGAGGGGAACATAGTTTGTTTTCTTATTGGTTCATTCACTTAGGTAGTATTGATTTTTTTAAAAATAAGACAATCAATATTAGTAAGCATTTCATAAGTGCAGTGAAGGTGCTAGCTTCTGTTAACTAATAAACAGATGTTTGGCCTCTTGGGTTGAATGGCATCCAAACAAAACTTGCTGCCATTGAGTCAATACGACTCCTTGTGACCCTGTAGGAATAATGTAAAACTGCTCGTTTGGGTTTCTTAGACCAGAAATCTTTATAGGAACACACTGGCTCAGCTTTCTCCCTTAAGAGTGATGGGCTTATGGGTTTGAACAGCTGACCTGTGGTTAACAGCCTGACGCTTAATCCAATGTGCCCACCGTGCTCCTTTTAACTGGTTTGACATAAATCCCAAACCGAACTCCCTGCCGTTGAGCCAATTCTGACTTAGAAACTATAGGACAGGGTAGAACGCGTCCAAGACTGTAACTCTCGATGGGAGTAGAAAGCCACATCTTTCTCTTTAGGAGTGACTGGTGGTTTTGATCTGCTGACCTTGCACTTAGTAGCCAATGTCTAACCACTATGCTGCCAGGGCTCCATCTAAGACATAACCAGGTGGGTAATAACACAGTGTAATAAATTCCGCATCAGTGATAAATGATTATACAACTGGCTGGGAAAATGGCTTAGAGGTTCTAAAGAATAAGTGGAGCTTATAAGAATATGAGACTGTCAGGCCAGGTGTCCCGCTGCCTTTCAGTCTGCTCCGACTCACAGTCACCCAGTATAGAGAGGATTTCTGAGGCTGTAAATCTTTGAGGGTACAAATAGTGTCATTTTCTCCCAAGGAACCTCTACTGTAGTACCTATAGGGGTTTGAACCCTCCACCTTGTGATTGGCAGTAGTCCAGTGCTTACTTGACAGCATCTCTAGGGCTCATTAGGCTAGGTATAGGAGAATATTTATGAACTAATAACCTCTCCCCTTTAGCTATGCCAGAATAAAGGTAAGGAGAGAAAGTGATCTTGAAGTGGTGTGATCAAGTTGGCTGGCACATAAAATTTTAAAGTACAAAAGTCATACTGTGACTGGAGATGTAACTAGAAACTGAAGACTCCCTCAGCTTTCTTTCTCACATGGAATTGCTGGATGGGTTTGATCCCTGACATTGCAGTGTCTGATCCAATGCCTGATCCACAGTGCCACCAGGGCTCTGTACTATGCTGTACAGACTGGGGAAGCAAGGAAACTAGTGAGGGCACTTGTTGGAATTGGTGTGTGTGTGTGTGTATGTTTAGAAACAAAATTGTATATGGGACATTAAGGTGAAGAAGGCTTTAATACTGACTCATACTTACAGTGTGACTGTTAGCATGGAGTTCCTAACGATTGCCACCTGGGAAACTACTCTGAAAGGCAGTGGATAGATGATTCTGTATGAATGATTCTTAGAAGAGTAGTAGAACTCAGTGTGGGAAAAGAAGAGCTTTTAGGAGCAAATTCAATGCATGGAGCTACATTTTTGTTGTTAAATCTTTATACATATCTTTTATCTCCTACATTTGTCCTAGAGAAGCAATTTTGGTTAATATAATTCTTAAGATCATTAGCTTTTGAAGTCTACATAGTTTCAGAGTCAGCTCAGCAATATGTAGTGAGCTTGAGCCAGTTTTCTCATTAAAAATGAGGGTATTAATAATACCCATTACATGGGACTATTGTGGGATTTTAAGCCGGGCATGATACAATCTTGGCACAGTATTTGATAACTGGTGGCATAGTGGGCTATGTGTTGTGCTAACTCCAAGGTCAACAGTTCAAAACCACCAATTGCTCTGCAGTTGAAAGATTTAGGCCTTCTAGTAAAGTCTTAGTTTCAGGAGCCAACCGGGGCTCTTCTACCCTGACCTATAGAGTCACTGCAAGTCAGAATCAACTTGATGTCAGTGAGAAAGGAACAAGCCCTGTGGGAGAGCACTGATGGCACAATGAGAAAGTACATGACTGCGAACTGGAATCCCAGTGGAGTGGTTTGAAACA